ATAATTGGGACGGCACACCCGATAGTCCAGACTTCCTCCCGGAAGCTGCAGCCGAGCCCGACGAGGCGTCATCTTCGAAGGAGTCGCGCGAGCTTTTATCGCGAGCGAGTGACAGCCACGCTCAAACTCAATACCCTGCGCAGTGCACCACAAGCAACTCAATTCTGCGAGACGCGAATTTCGGCTTTCGCGCGCCGGGAAACGACGACAGAAACGCAGTTTTCTCAGCTGGCAGCCGACTGTCAAGCGGCTTGTCGGTCAAAAGCTCGGGCCCGCTCCGCGTTCGAGAGACACCGATTTCGGCGCAGCCCGAGGATACCAGTTCAGCTGCACACTCGGATTCCTCGCTCAACTCTTCCGACGGCACAACATCCAAGGAGAAAGCATCTGATGCCGAGTCTCCTACCGGCGTGAACAAAGATTCGAAGCCAGCGACTTCGCTGCTGCCTAGCTTGGCGGCGCTCGGCGAAACTTGCTTCTCGCAGCACTGTGTCAAAGGGAGCCCCACGGACTCTCAGTCGCGCTCTTCCACCGCGATCAAAGCCCTTTCCGCCAGACTGCACGAATACATCGAAGAGTCGCGCTCTCAAGACCCAGACGATGTTGCAATACTAGTGCGCCGCGAAAGCACTGACAAAACCTTGCTTTACTCGTACGACGACCCTGTTAACGGCGGTATTCTGGTGAGTAAGCCGCGAACGAGGGCGCAAACGCAATCGGAACCGCAAACGGAACCGCAATCGGAACCGCAATCGGAACTGCAATCGGAACCGCAATCGACGCCACTTTCGAGCGGCGCCGTGACAGAAGCCACCGCCAGTGTTTCGGCCAGCTCTGTTGTTAGCAACGAGCACTCTGCCGAGCCGACGCTGCGCGTTAAAAAGACGCTGAACATCGGGCACTTTCCCCACTTGAGCCTCAAGACGCTGCGCGCTTGCGCAGCCAGCTTCACCGAGGGACTCCACTCCGGCGCTGCGCCGCTGCTGGAATTGGAAAAACTAGAGTGGATGAACTGAGACGCTCGATTGCGAATAGTCGTCGCCCGCCGGCTCGATCTCCAGGATCGCGGCCTCGCTAAGACTGAAGATCCGCACGCTCGATGTGCTGTGTTCTGCGAAACCGCTTTTTCCTCCGCCATAGAAAAATAGACATTTATCCCCGCCTCTTTTCAAGTCGAAGTAACAGACGCGCGTAGGGTCAAGACCGCTGGCGACGCCCGAGACGTAGAAGCCGGGCAGCAGCGTCCCCTGCGTCTCAATCAGCTGCGCCAACGTCGCCAGGCCGCCCGCGCCGAGACCATATTCAATCGCTGCGTAGCTCATGGGCGAAAACACAAATGGCAGGTTCGCGGCGTTTAGTCTCAATCGGACGGGCTGTGCGTTCGAAAAAAAAATTTTTTTTCTCCGCGCCTGCTCAATCTTCTCCAGGGCGAGTAACACTACTGGATATTTCGTGAGCACGACGCAGGCCGTCAAGCGACCTGCGGACGCAACAGACAGCAGCGTTTGCAGCTTGCTTTCGGAAAACATATCGTCGTACAGACATAAAATTCGCAGTCTCGATCCGGTCGAGTGCGAGTCGGTAGTTGGAGCGACGGCGCCCGGCCGATAGAAGGGCGCGTGGAAAATACGTTTGGACGAGTCTGTCGCGGTGTAGCCGAGCAGCAAGGCCCCAAGCACAGCGTTGCGCGGCTCGACGGAGGCGACGGGCACAGTAACAAACGGCGCGCCCCCGCGCTTGCCTGCGATCCGCTTCAGACGAAATTGCTGCTTGACCTCGTCGCACTCAACTACGACGTACGCGTCGCTGCACTCAGCCAGGCCGCTGCGCTGAAGGAACTGAGTGAACGGCGCCACCAACAGATCGGTAGACTCCTCGCTGCGGCAAGTCTGGACAGCTTCGCTGCACTCGAGAAAAGGCAGTGGGTCTAGTGCGGCCACTGTGCGCGCGATCGACGCGTAGCGCTCCAGATCCAGTGACGTCACCGACATGCGTGCCGCAGCCCGCCGGATCAGAATTTACTAAAATATTTTTCTTCGAATTTTCGTACCGCTGCGATCAAATCTTTCTCGAGAGACGCTGCGACCTTCTTGAGCGCCGGCGTGCTGAAGCGCGCAGCATTGCTCGTAACGGCGCGCTCGATCGCCTTGCAACTGCCGGCTTCCGTAAAGTCGGAGACAGACAGTTCTACCGAAGACTCGTCGTCTGCGCAGTGGATCTGCAACGTGAACTGGAAGTCGAACGCGTGACGCACCTTGCCGCGCACACTCATGATGTGTGCGTCACCAGTCAAGCTGGACACGCTGCACGAGTAGTCGTCCCTGCCGATCTCCTCGAGCAGCGAACGCAGCATGGCTTCGCACCACTTCGTGGCGTCTTTCTCCTCGTAAGTGGTGCCAGACTTATTCCACGCGCTGATCCCTTTCTGAGTCGCGTTCTGCACGTCGGGGGCTTGCGGCTTCTGCTCTATTTGCTGAGGCTTGTAAATCGTGTCTTTCGCCAGTTTTTCCGACTCAGTCAAGTCTTTGCGGAAGTAGCAGTAACCCTTCTTCTTGGTCTCTTCCAAAAACTTGCGCTCCTCTTCGTTCAGCTCTAGCTCGTCGGTAGTGACTCGGCTTTGCGCGGCGGAGCGGCCAATGGCGCGCGCCTCGCACTCCTCACGTTTTCGCTTCAGTTCGTTTTCCAGTCTCTCGTTCTCCGCTTCTTTGTATGCTTCGAAAGTCATGTCCTTCGGCAGTTCGCCCTCCTTCTTTTTGTTCTCGAAGGTGACGCGCATGCCTTCCTCTTTGCGCTGGTTCTCAAGTTTCGTTTTCTGCTTCTCGAGTTCGCGGTCTTGGTACAGCGAGACACCGGAAGTAAACAGCTTCGCGTAACGCTGCTTCTCCAGCTCTTGGTACTTTTGCTTCTGCGTGGCGCACATCGCCAACAGTTTGTCTGCGCCGGCGTAGTTCATCTTGCTCAGCGTGTTGAAATCTTGACTAGCGAGCTCAAAGTTGTTGCTGTAAAAGTAGCACATGCCGCGACGGTGAACGAGCTTCTGCGACTGCGGGTCGGCAGCCAGCAACTCGTTTGCGATTTTGATTGCCGCCGAGTACTTCTGCGTTTTTATGTGTACCAAAACGAGATTGCTTTTGATGCTGCGCTGCAACTCGAGGAGTTCCGGCGCTTCCAAATTATCCGCTTCTTGCAAAGCCGCGAGCGCACTCTTGTACAGATCTGCTGCATCGCTGTACTTCTCGTTCTGCAGTTTAGCATTTGCGTCGTTTTTGAAGTTCGTGGCTTTCTCTACGCATAGCTTGGTCTCGAGCTTCGGCGCGTTGTCAATTCCCGACTCTGAACCACTCTCGTGGTCACTCATTGGTGCTGTCAAATTTCTATAGAAAATTAGAATTAGTAAATTGGTCAATGTTGGCTAAAATTCCCGAACGGCGCGTTTCGACGAGCGCATTGTGCGCTGTCGTGCAGCACTTTGAGTTCTGGTATCCTGCGCTTTGTTTGGCTGACGACAATGTGCGTAACTACACCTTGAAACGCGATCTAGTGCAGGTGCTACTGCGCGACGACCTGTGCGTCAATGATGACTTTTTGCCCGTTGGTGCAGAGCAAAGCGCGCGCGAACTGCTTCAGTGGCTCCACGATCCGCTGCGTGACTCGAGCTCCGAGCATTTTCTGTATTGTGGGCCTGTGTTCATCGGCCAGATTTTTCACGAACGCGACTTTTTTACACTCGTGCTAGATTCCTTCGCGCTCGCACACCACTTCGAGCAGCCGTTCGCGCTCGACGCTGCGTTTGCACAGTGCGCGGTGGTGACAGACCGCGGCGTCGAGCTTGAACCGGCTGAGAAGTACTACGAAGTTTGCGACGCAGTTTACGTTTCAGACGACGCGCTAAGCAGCTCTGAGTGCGGCGAGGAAAACTGTTTTGTGCGCGCTGAAAAACTGCGCGTGCAAGGCGAGCGCGACGCGCTGGTCGAGGAACCCAGGGACGCAAAACTGCGCAGCGACGCGCAGCCGTGCTTCCAGCTGAAGCTTCTTAGCCGGCCGAAGATCGGTGCTGCAACGCAGTCTTCCAGTGCTGAGTGGAAACTATTTGCTGAACGTGAGTCGCTCATAGCCGCTGTGCTATTGTGCAACCTCAGCAAGTCAGCGCTCCAGGCGTTTGACAAAACTGAGCTATCGAACTTCGAACGCTGCTTCCGCGAGTTGGTGCGTGCGTTCGCCGAAAAAACTGATAAGTCTTTTGTCTATAGATTCGTCGTCTTCGTGCGCACAAACTCCGGCGCGGGCGACGCGAAACCTCGTGCGATCCGCGTAGAGCAGTGGACCGACGCGAACTCGGGTCCGTTCAGCGGAGTGGACGATATTTTCAGCACCGTTCGGCCAGACAGCCCCGTCGTTTTGCAACGCTGCCCGCTCGCTTAAAGATTTGCTAATTTTTAAAGTAGATTAGTGGATTTCGATGTAGGCGGCGCAATGACGGACAACAATTTGTTTATCTACTCTTCGGAGAATGTGCGAAAAGCGACCGGCGTCAAAGGCTCGCTACCCTACTCGATCGTCGACGGCGAAGGCGTCGAGGTTGAGAAAGGCTTGCTCGTTTCGGACTCCGAATTCGAGCTTGATCAGCGCAGTTTACGTTCTCCGGACAGCGTCGCCGCTTGCTCGAACTGGAAGCAGCTGCTCGAGCTGTACCCGCTGCAGTCCAAGAAGTGCTTCAGCGCGCTCAGGATGCGCACCGTTTGCCGGAAGCCCATGGCTTACTACAACTTCTCGAGTTTGCTCGACGACTTCTATCTGAACATCATTGACTGGAGCGCGAAGAACTTGATCGCGACCGCTTGCGAAAATAAGATCGTGCTGTTGCGCCCAGATCTTTGCGCGCCCGCAGAAGGAGCGCAGCTGCAGCAGCTAGCAGTTACCGGCAGCATCCAAGGGCCGCCCTGCGACTCGGGCTTTAGTTCGGTGTTCTCGCTATACAACAAGTCGCTCGCGTACTACAGCTGCAAGTTTAGTCCCGACGGAAATTACCTCGCGGTGGGCACTGCAACTGGCGTCGTCGAGATTTGGGATCTGAACGCAGAGAGCATCTCGACCAAGCTGCACTCGCACGTGCAGCGCGTTGGCGTGCTCAGCTGGCTGCCAGAAGACGGCGAGTTCCTCGTGACGAGCGGTAGTCGAGACAAGTCCATCTTCATTACGGACACGCGATCGCCTACGCTGGCGTCTGAGTGGTGCCGCCACAAGCAAGAAGTCTGCGGGCTTGCGTGGAAAAAGGCCGGCCTGACCCCGTTCAACGGCGCCGAAAAACAGAATGCGAACGCTTTCTCCAGCCAAAGTTTGCCGTCGGTCGAGTACTTCAACTCGATGAAGTTGCACGGCGGCGGCGCGCGAAACGACGACTCTCTCGCAGACGCGATGGAGGAAGAGTTGATGAGTGCGTGTCGCCAAGCGCACATTTCGTTCGCGGACTCGAAAAACGCAATCTACAACAATCTGGTTGACTCTTGCAAATTCAGTCCGACTTACAGCGTCAGCAAGCCGCTGCTGGCGAGCGGCGGAAACGACAACAAGGTTTTTATCTGGGAGCTTGGCTACAACGTGCCTGTGCTGCGCCTCAATGAGCACACTGCCGCTGTGAAGGCTGTCGCGTGGGCGCCGCTCAACTACCCGCTGCTCGCCACTGGCGGCGGAACCAACGACCGCACCATCAAGCTGTGGGACATTCCGCGCCGCTCGTGCATCACGAGTTGCGAGAGTGAGAGTCAAGTGTGCAACTTGATGTGGAGTAAGAAGTCGTTCGAGCTAGTCAGCACGCACGGCTACACGCTGAACCAGGTCAACGTGTGGGATGTTATAAAAAGCAAAGAGACCGCAGGAAAGCTGCGGCTGCGGCGGCTGTCCATTCTCGCTGGCCACTCGAGTCGCGCTCTGTACATGTGCGCGAGTCCGTCGCACGATTACATTGCCACGGCGAGCGGCTGCGGAACGCTCTACGTGTGGGCGCCGTTTTTCGAATAGCCGACGCAAATAAATTATTTAGCGCGGGAGAATGACGATTCGTCGCAGCCAACGCCCATATGAAGCCCAGGTTGCGCGTGCTGCGCGAACGGTTCGCCGCCAACGCACGGCCCCGCGAAGCGCTCGATGAATTGCGCGCCGCCGGCCGCACCTCTGTACGTTTGCCTTCGCTCCGAGCAGATCGCGGCGTGTCTGGCGGCTGCGAGCGAGATGCCGAGCGGCGCGCGCGGCAGCTTTCTGCTCGCACACGCTCGCGAGAAGCGTTCTCTCGAACTGTGGGACGCGTTTTTCCACTGCGCCGCGCCGGCAGAATTCCTGGCGCGCTTCGAGCTGCTGTTCGAGGCGGTCACGCAAGTCGGCTACCACCCGTACAGTTGCGAACTCTGGATGGCTTACTTGTCGCACTTCGTTGCGCTGCACTCGTTTTACCACACGCGCTGCGGCGAAATCCACGCACACTTGTCGGCCTGCAGCCGGGATTCCAGCCTAACTTGCAAACCGATTGTGGACGTGTTGAGCTTCGACTTGCCGTACTTCAAACGGCCGGGCGTCGCGGAGCTGCGCACCGAAGACTTGTATGCCGTCGTGGTCGAGTTTCCGTACGAGCTCGACGAGACGAGCTCCCTGCAGCTGCCTGTTGCGCTGGAAGACGTTGCGCTTCCGGAGTGTGACATTGTCGCTGCTGAATACAAAAAGCTGCAGCGAATCGTCATGCGCGGGCTGCTCAGCGTGGCCCTCTACGCGCGCATGCTACTTTTCTTGAACCTGAGTCCGGTGGAGCTGCTCGACGCGCACGCGGCGTTGCAGGCTCTGTGTCCAGCTGCTGCTGCGAAGTGCGAGCGCGCGCACCAGACCTGCAGCTTTTTCAGCCGACACGTAGAAAGTTTCTACCCGCCAGATGTGTTGCTCGCCTTTGTGCAGACGCCCGACAAACTTAACGACACCGCGCTGACTCGCCGCTGGGAGCAGCTTTTGCGCGCAGAAGCCGCTGACCGCATCGGCGTGAAGAGTGCGAGCTTCGCTCTCTTTGAAGAACGGTTGCAGTTCTTTTTGCAGACGGCGCTGAGCACGTGCGAGCGCTCTGCACAACTGTATTTCGCGGCCGCGCAGTTTTTCTTTGCGCTGGGCTGCATCGTGAAAGGAATGCAGCTGCTGCGCACGCTGTGCGACTGGGAGAGCGATGGCGACGCGGCGGCGCACGCGCTGATTTTCGCCTACGCCAGCTTTTTCTTCGCACAAGATCTGCGCGCCGCGGACTCCGTCCTCGCTGCGGCCCTGCAACGCGCGCTGGCCCGCGAGGCGTCGCGCGCCGAAGTCTCTGCGATCGTTTTTCAACGTCTGCTGCTGTCTGCGAAGACGCTCAGACTGGAACTGCTGCTCGCGTTTGCAGCTGAGTTGCTCCGGGACGAGTTTATAGCGGCAGTACTTACAGAGGAAACGTGCGAACGCATCATTGAGTTGCTCGCGAACTGCTTGCAAGCCGCAGGCTCGTGGCCGTTCTTTCAGCGCAAATCTTGCTTCACTGCAGCGGTGACGCAGTCGCTCTGGGCCGTGGTGTGCCTCCTCGGCGCGCGCTTCCCTTTAAACCGCTGCTTGCAGCCCTTGCTGCGCAAGGGAGCGGTCGGCGTATGCGATGCGATCTGCGCACTACCCGCCGAGCAGAGCGCGACTGCGCCGCAAAGCGCGGGCGCGACACAGGCCGCTCTCCTTGCTCGACTCTACGCGGGCAGCGCGTCGAGCGAGACGTTAAGCGCGTCCTGTGTAGACATTGGTTGCGGAACAGAGCTCTGCACGCCGGCGGGCCGAAACTCGTACGCAGATTTGCGCGAGTTTGTCTTCGAGTGTGCCACTGCGGGCTCCCGTGCTTCGCAAGTTTCGAGTGCGGACGAGAAAAGCCTCGCAGAGCGCTCGCGCGCTGCGGAGCTGTCTGGACGCGCTCTCCAGCTCGACACAGCGGAGGAGGCGCAGAATGGCGGCGCTCGCTTCGTGCTGCTGCCAGCCGACGGGGAAAAAGCAGGTAGGAGCTTCGAGGAGTTGCTGGCGGCAGCGACGGACGTGCTGCCGCGCACGCAGCGGGAAAAACTGCAGCGCGTCCTCGCGGCGCCTGAGGTGGCGAGCTTTTTGCGCAGCCGGGCGCAGTAGCGCGCGGCGCGCCGGCTCACGGCGCTTCCCAGCTGGCGCCGACGCTGCTGGTGTAAGGTTCTACAAAAGACTTGACGCGCGCCTCGAGGTCGCGCTTGACTTGGAAGCGCAAGAAAAAAATGGGGCAGTCCTTGTTCACGCAGCGCAGCTCTTGCATGTGTGTCTGCTGGCAAATTTGGCAGCGGTTCCACAAAAGGTGGAACTTGCGCTGCAAGTCTTTGAACTCGTTGGCAGCTTTCATGAACTGCGCGGCGTAATTCGTGGAGGAGCAGCGCGCGCACAGCAAGCCCTGTTGGACCACTACACTGCACTTCAAGCACTTGATTGATTTTTGAAAGTAGCCGCGCAGCGCGCCCGTGTAGTGCGAGGTCAGTCTGCGGTTCTTCGTGTGCTCGCCGTTGAACAGTTCGCGGCTGATCTCAGGGTCGATGATGTCGGTGAGCCGGCAGATCGGTTTGCGCAGCGACTCGAGGTAGTGCAGCGTGTCGATCTCCAGCCCGTTCTGCAGCACGAACAGCGGGTCCTCTGCGTTCTGGCCCTGGCTCGAGTGCTTGTCGCCGCTGACGATCACGTAGTAGACGCGGTCGCCGAGCCCGGGCGCGTTTTGCGCGTCGCGCTCCGCCATTTTTTGAGCGACGATCACCTGCGGCAGCGGGCTTTTGTAGTCCGGTTTCGCGAGCGACTTCGACACGATCAACTTGCTAATGTCCACCTGCTGGTTCAGCAGCGCGGCGATTTGCGAGCGGACGAAGTTGAGGCTGCGCTCCAGGTCGTTCTGCGTCAACAGCAGGTCCAGGAAGCCGCTGAGCGTTTCCTGCACAAACGGGCAGAAGTCGCGGCGCACGGTCTCCAAACCTTTGGTTTCGACTTTCGTGAAACTGTCGGGCGCCGTCCACATCAGCCCTGCGTAGCGCTTTTTGTTGATGAGCAAGTACGGACAGAAGACTTTCTCGAACTCCAGCTCCAGCGGCTTTTTAAACTGCGAATTGATGTCATGCGCCATTTTCTTGCCCGCGGCGATCGCAGCGGCGATGGAGCGCAGCTCTACCTCGATCATCAGCGAGTCCGTGTCGCCGTAGATGACGCGCGTGCCGAACGCGTACTCGGAGCTCGGCGAAATGCGCGTCTCTACGTACTCCTTCGAGCGGTTAATCAGCTCGCGCCCAAACGCGGTGATGCTGCTCGAGATCGTCAAGCACGGCAAGTGTCCGACGTTCGCGATGCCCGTGTAGCCGTACACGCTGTTCGCGCACACTTTCAGCGCGAGCTGCTTGCCGTTGAGCAGCATCTGCAGGAACGGGTCGGTCGCGTCGTTCATTGCGCGCTTCACGCTTTTGCGCTGCTGCAGCAGGTTCTTGACGACGCTCGGCAGCACGCCCGCGCGGACATGTTCTTTGACGTAGTACGCGTCGTTCGGCGCTTTGTAGTAGTCTTCCGGGGCGAGCGCGGCGAGCACTTCTGGGTCCGTCACAAGCGTCGAGTAGCACAGGTTGTATGCAATCATGATCGACGGGTACAGACTCGCGAAGTCGAGCACGACGACGGGGTTCGGATAGAATCCGCGCTGCGGCTCGAGCACGATCGCGCCTTCGTAGGAGTCTGTGCTCGGCTCGCCGTCGCGCGGCGTCAGCGGCATGAACAGCCCGTCCTTCTGCAGCGTGCGCATCAGCTGCATCGTCACCTTCAGCTGCTGGCCACGCACCAGCAGGAGCTCGAGCGGCACCGAAGTCACGCGAGACATCTGCAGCGCGTTCACGTAGAGCGAGAGCTTTTGAGTGAGGCGCAGCGTCAGCTCGCTGTCGCGCAGGCAGTAGTGCGCAATGCGCTTGCGTCCGAGTTCGCCGCTCGTGAACAACTCTAGCATTTGCGAGTAGTGCACGTCTTCCTTCTGGTCGTTCAGAAAGTGAAAGGCGACGGCGTTCAGGCGGTAACTCTTCAGACTGAATTCGCGGCGCACGATGTCGAACACGTCGAACGAGATGCGCCCGCTGATCGTCACCGAGGTGGTGTCAAAAGTGCCCGTCTGCTTCGTTGTGATCTTCGTGCGCTTCGCGCTCGAGTCTTCGGCGAGGTTGCGCCCGAGCGCCGTCATTTCGAGCACGCGCAGCTGCTTGCCGCGCTGGAAAAGGTAGTACAGGTCGAAGTTCAGAATGTTGTACCCGGAAAGCAGGTCGAAGTCGTACACCGTCACGAAGTCGTGGAACGCGACGAGCAGCGCGCGCTCGTCGTCGAAAGAGAAGACGTGCGTCCCCGGCAGCGGGCTGCACGAACGTAACGTAAAGACGAACCGCTCCGCGTCCTCGGTCGGGTCCGAGACGATCGCACTGATCGTGATGACCGGCGAGGTTTCTGGCGAAGGGAACGTGTTCGGGTTCTCCGAGACGCACTCGATGTCGAAAGTGCACATCAGAATGCCGCGGTGCATGGCGTCGTCGCTTTTTTCGCCGCACACGTCACGCTCCGAGCAGCTCAGTTCGAGGTCCGTGCGACTGATGCGCTGCTCCGCGCGCACCGGCGTCAGCGCGTCGGAGCGAATCGTCACGGTTTCCGAAGCGGTCAGCTCTTTGCGCACCATCCACAATAGCGGGTGCGCAACTGTGCAGTTAAACAGCTTGCAGTCGAACGGGACGAGTCGGCCGCCGCCGCTGCGGAGCGCGTGCGTGCCCGGCAAGCTGCTGCGCGCCGAAGAAAAGAGAGCGATGTCCGCGAGACGCAGCTTGAAAAAGCGCTTTTGCTGCTCGAGCGCGGGGTTGTAGTGCATAACGGAGCGGCCCTCGACTTGTTCAACGCTGCGCACGAACTGCGCGGGCTGAAACGCTTCGGTCGGCGCCGCGAGAGCAGCGTCCCCGGACGCGAGCTCGAGCGTGGCTTCGACCGGGTTGCCGCCGATAATTGCGGCGAAAATGCGTTGCAAGTGCGCGAGGCGCGCGGCTTCGGGCAGCTCCGCGACAAACGTTGCGTCCAGCGCCACGATCAGCTCGGGCAGCGCATCGGGCACGTGCACGACGCAGCTGCGCTCTGCAGCCGTGTTTGCCAGGCTCACTCCGTACAAAGAGATCTGCAGTTTGTTCGTCGCTAAGTTGCGCGTCTCGGCGATGCTAAGCAGCGTGAAGCGGAAATACGCGGCCTGCAGCGGCGCGGCTGGTTCAAGCGGCGCGGGATCGCCGCCCAGCAGCTCGCGCTTCAGCGCGCGGAAGGTCTCAATCCAATCGCGCCGCGCCGCGGCGAATGGCGAAGCGGATTCGCGCGCGTCCAGCAGCGACGCGCGCGACCCTGTGGCCAGCAGCCGACTCGGCTCGAACGGCAAGTCGGCGAAGAATTCGCGCAGACTGCGAGCCGGTTCGTAGCGCTGCGAGGCGTGCAGATGCAAAAATTTCCTCATTTGTGCGCTGAAGCCCTCGGCAACGCGGCAAGAGGCAGCGAAGGGCAAATTAGAACTATACTAAAGAAAATTGTAATTGATAAAGAGCCTGGCTGCGCGTTGTGCGCACAGCGCTTGCGCTCAAGCGCCGTCGCCCGCTTTGCTCTTCGGCTTTCGCGGCTCCGGCGCGGGGCCGCGCTGAACTGCTTCGATTAGCTCGTAAAGTCGCTTTTCCAAAATGGTAACTTTCTCGATTTGCGCGTTGAGCAGCTGCTGGTATTTTTCCGCCGCTTGCGCGTCGGCGCTGGCGAACGAAGCCTGTTTCTGCTTCTGCGCGAGCGTAAACGCTTTCTCTGCAAGTTCTTTCTCGCGGTCGGAAATGGCTGCTTCGCGCTGCAGCAAAACGCGCTCCTGCTGCGCGAGGCTCAGAGCGCGTTGGTCGAGCCGCTCGGCACGGAGCGCCAGCCCCGCGTTCCGCAAGTCGTACGCTTCTTTCCAGACCTGGCCCTGCGCCACAATGGTGTTGTCGTACTGCTGCAAAATGTCGGTCTTTTCGGTGAGCTGCGCCTCCCAAATCTGCAGGCGATCTTCGTGCGCGTAGTAGTCCGTGATGCACTTCACGCTCTCCTCGGCCCACTGCGCGAGCGTGAGCGCCAGCGGCGACTGCGCCGCGGTAGACAACGCCGCTTCGCTCAGCGCGAGTTGGCTGTCGCTCGGCACGGGCTTGACTGCGCAGCGCTGCCCCGATTGCACGGGCGCTCCCTGGCGCTCCTGGTCCAGCGTCGTCGGCGCGTTCGGCGCGCAGCGCAGCCGCACTTTGACGAAGGCCGCGTCGTCGGACAGAGCTTTCCCGCTGCTCAGCGCTTCAGAAGGCACGGACGAGGACATCTTGGACTCCGCGTAGATGTACGTCTTCTTGTTGTACGGGTCCACTTCGCATGCAACGAATTTGGCAACAAGCTCGTTCTCTAGGCTCTCCGTAGTTACGGAGCGCGGAGCCGCTGCTTCGCCGATCGCGGACTTCTCGACGCCCTTTTCGCCGGCGCGCGACGCGCTAGCCGCCTTTGCGCTGCCGACCCGCGCAGCGCGCGGCTGCTCGGCGGACAGCGGCTCGCGGCGTCGCTCAGTCTTGACGACGCACCTGCTGCGCGCGTGGCAAGACGAGCTGCTTTCGCCGCTGCACTCGGCGCGCAGCGTCTTGCTCACGTTGTCGCTGCTCGAAGCCGCGGACACCAAGCTGTCGCCGCGACGCGTCTTCAGCTTGCGCGCGACCGGAGCGCGCGGCGGTCTGCGCGGCCCCTTTTTCGATTGCACCGGCGTCGACTCAGCGGGCGAGGCGGAACTCGGATGAGAGTCGCGCGCGGGCGAGTACATCAGCACTGCGTCGTCGAACTGCTGCTGCGTGACCGCGCTCGGCTCGAAGCGGCCCTGGCTCTTCTCGCGACTGAGACTTTTCACCTTTTCAATGATGTTGTAGGAGCGCTCGGTGATCTTCTCGCGCGTTGCCTTCAGCTCTTCGTGGCCGCAGACGTGGTTTCCGGCGGCCGAGTTGCAGTTCGTGATCAGCGAGACGATTTCGAAGACGTACTCGCCGATCTTCCGCTCGAGCTCCGGCTCGAGCTCGACCAGCGAGCGCAGCACGTGGCACAGCGCTTCGCCGCGGTTCTTGCAGATGCGCTGCGAGCCGAGGTCCATGTCCTTCGCGCTGTAGCGCACCAACACCAGGTTCGTCGAGCGCGTCGCCGAAATCACGAAGTTGTACAGGTAGCTGATCTGCGGCACGCCCTCGGTGATGTTGATCGAGTTTTCCACGAGCTGCACTTCGAGTTTGTCAAGCAGACTGCGCAGTTCGTCGAAACAAATCTCGCAAACCGGCTGCGTGACTTCCTTTTCGCCGAACAAATCCCTGAAAATCGAAATGATCATCGCTTTACGGCAGACACGGATGTGTAGGTTGCTATATACAAATATTTTTGCACACAGGTAATGCGTGCAAAAATGGCCGCGAGGATTCGTAAAACTTCCACTGCCGGGATTTGAACCCGGGTCGTGTGGGTGAAAACCACATATCCTAACCAACTAGACTACAGTGGATGCTGTAAGCCGTGCAGCGCGCCGCGCGTGTCGCTGCACGTCGCGGTTAAGAACGACAAGGATGAGATTCGAACTCACGCGGGCAGAACCCAACGGCTTAGCAGGCCGCCACCATAACCACTCGGTCACCTTGCCGACTTCGAGTTCGCTCACTTCGCTCGCCCCTCATAATACCGTTCGTAAATCAAGCGGTCCTCCGACTCGAGCTGGTCCTTCGCATGTAACAGCATGAACAGCGCAACCCCGATGAACGTGAAGCAGGCGATGACAATTGCGACACTGTAGTAGCTCGTAATGTTCTTTTCCGCGACGCCGTCGAGGTCGGTGCCGACGGACGCGCGCAACGCGTTGGTTTTCTCCATGTGCTGCGTATAGTTGCGCGATTGAACGTAGCCGCCGAGCGCGCCCGACAGTGCGCCGACCGCAGACCCGAGCAAGCCGCCGCTCTGAAAGTCTAGCGCGCCGCGCACGGCGCCGGTGCCCATCGACGCATTGCGGCGCAGCTTTTTCTGGAACTCTGCGCTCTCCTGGATATTAGGATCCATTCTAAAAGATGTGCACCCTCACCGCCGAAGCTGCAGCGGCTCGGCTGCAGCCGCGATATTTCAAGAAACACGATGGCAATTTCACAGCGAGAAAATAGCGCCGCACGGTCGGCAACGCCGCGCGTCGACGCGCTGGCAAAGGAGCTCGTTGCGCTGCAGCCCGATGGCAGCCGTTGCGTCCGACCCGCGCTCGACAGCGCGCTGTTTGCGTTTTTCGCGACGCTGCTCGACGACTACGAGCGCGAGCCGGATACCGCGCGGCAGATCGCGCTGGTTTGCGAGCCGCTGCTACAGCTGCGCGCGCTGGACCCGCTCGAGACGGCGGCGGCGCTGCAAACGCTCTTTCTGGCTTTGGACGCGCGCTGGCGAACGCTGAGCCAGTACTTCGTGACGAAGTTCGAGCGCGTGCTGGTGTTCGTGGCGGCCGAGTTCGCCTTCGGCGTTCTCAGCCGCCGCGGTGACTCGGAGGCGCTCTGGCGTCAGACGCGCGCGCTCCTGGCGCTCTTCGCGTACTTGGACCCCGCGTTGCGCGAGGACGAGGTTTCGGCGGATGTGGCGCGCGACCGGCTCGCGGGGTGGTGGCTCGCGTTCTTGCACGCGTTTCCGACGCAGCTGCAGAGTGTCTGCGCGCGCAGCGGCGCGGCGCTCGACGTGCAGCTGCTGCTGGACGCCGCGCACCTCTATCTCTGTTTGCTGCTGAGTCCGGCGACGCCCTTGGCGGTTGTCGCGACGGCGTACGAAGAGCTGGGGACGCTGGCGGCTTTTGCGCGCGAGACGTGCGACCAGCCGTCCGCTGCGCAGCTGGCGCATGCGCTGCTCGAACTACTGCAGCAGCGGTTGGCGGCCGACGTGTAAGTTGGAAGACGCGCGCCTCAGACGCTCGCAGCCGCGCGCTGTGGCGCTGAAAACGCAGCTGCTAGCGCTCGCCGGCGCGCCGGCGGCGCGCGCAGAGGCCTGCGGCTTGCGGACGCGCGGCGCGTGCGCGTGCGCGCGGTTCTCGCCACCGCGGCCACTCCGCGCCGATCTGAAAATCTTGAATTTGATTGGCGTGTGATATATTTTTATCCAGGGTGCAGGTGTTCCTATCGCTTTTTCCTCGGACGCTACAAAGACCTTGCTTCTGAGACGCTGGTGTGATCCAGGTACCGCGAATACGTTGAGCCAGGCTGCATGTTTTTTCGCCGACGCCTCCGCAGCAATGCCTCGAAGCAAGACAAAGCCGTCACGTTCGAGAACTCAGTCTTCCGCTACCCGGTTTGCAGCTTCCGGCGGCGCGAACTCGAAGCCGAGTTCGGGCGTTTTGCGAGCGCGACGTTCCGCACCAACCTGGCGCTCGTCGGGCTGCTGCTCTGCGTGAGCTGCGTGGTGTACGCGCTGCTGCCCTCGGTGATGATGTTTAAGAACTGCGAGGAAACGAAGGTTGCAATGAAATGCGACTTTATTTCGTCCGACCGCATTGACCGAGTCGTCTTCATCGCGCTGCTGGCCACGTCCTTCGCCATGACGCTCGGGTTTTGTTTGTTGCAGAACGTGCGGGTGATGCAGCGCTTCGTCGAGTGGTCTGCGTACTTGGTGACCATCGTCCCGTATTTGCTGATCGCGGGCTGGAATTTGGGCGTGCTGATCAACGCGCAGACTATCAAGGAAGACGCGGTCGCCTTGAACGTGTTGCGTTCGGACACCGCCGTGCAGTTTAAAATTTGGACGGACGCGCTGTTCCACGTGCTGTCGCTGGTCACCATTGTGTGCCTCGACCAAATCCTCTACTCGCGCACTATGTACGTGATCGTGATGCACGTGATCTTGCTGCTCGTTTACGTGGCCACGCGCATCGTTTTCATGCTTCTGTTCAAAGACTTGATTACTGACACGTACGTGCCGTCCGTCGTCGGGGGCCAAATGTTGCAGCTTGCCATGTTTGTTGGCGTCACATTGTTTGCGTACATCGGCCGACTGCTGAACGAAATCCTAGAGCGCCGCCACTTCTTCGAGCTGCGGCAACACCGTCACCAGATCGAGAGACTCTCGGAGCGGCAAAGCAAAGACAAAGAAAAGCGCGGTCTCTCGGTGCAAGAGCAACTGATCGCGCGCATGTCGAATCTGCAAATCCGGCTGCAGGCCGCCGCGTTTAGAGTGAGCCGCGCAGGCGACGAGGTGCTGCTCGAGCAGGACGGCTTGCTGATGGTCTGCATCAGCTTGCTGCAAAGTTGCGACAACATATACGAGACGGGCAACCAGATGAAGAATCGCGAAGAGACGTTGCGGCGCGCGCGTCGCGCCTCGTCGGTCTCCGCACAAAGCCGCTTTTGCACCGGCGAAAATCGCCTGAACCGCTACCTCGCGCTCGGCGAGTTCATCTCGGCCGAAATGATCGGCGACGTGGACGTGCCCGCCGAGACGGCTGCGAAAATTGGCGCCGACCCGCACGGCTTAGACTTTTTCAGCTGGAGCAACACTGACGCAAACCTGTTCCTGAAGGTCGGCGCGACGCTGTTGCGCCCGCACCTGGGCTTCCTGAACGTCGACGAGAAGGTTATGATGAACTTTTTGTTCTTGCTGCAAAGCAAGTACCGCAAAAACGCGTACCACAGCTCGGTTCACGGCGCTATGGTGGCACACCACTCCCTCTGCATTCTGCAGTGCTACAACAGCGCGCAGGTCTTCTGCAAGGAAATTGTGTTGGCGTTGGTCATCGCAGCGCTCGGTCACGACGTCGGACATCCCGCGCAGAACAACTTGTTCCACATCAACACGAACTCGTTGCTGGCGCGCATGTACCAAGACAAGTCCGTGCTCGAGAACTACCACGCGTTCCTGACGCTGCGCGTCGCACTCATTTCTGCGGAGAGCAACATTTTCCAGAAGCTGCCCGAAGAGATCTACCGCTTCCTGCGCCGGTGTATCATCGAGTTCATTCTCGCGACCGACATCCAAAACCACTTCGACATTCTCGGCAGCTTCCGGCTGAAGCGCAGCCGCGAAGAGTTCGACTTCCGCAAAAACATTGTCGACCAAATCCAGGTGGCCAAAATGTGCATCAAGGCCGCCGACCTGAGTCACAGCTTCGTGAAGTGGGAGCACCACTACGAGTGGTCGGTCCGCGTCAGTCGCGAATTTTACGACCAGGGCGACATCGAATCCGTGCTTGGTTTCGAAATCCCGCCGCTGAACAACCGCGCGCTGATTGGCGACTTCGCCAAGTCGCAAATGGGCTTTTTGAAGTTCGTGGTCGAGCCGCTCGCGAACGAGCTACTCGAAATCGACGAAACCGGCGAATTCGCGCGCAAGTTTAGCTCTTATCTGTACTTCAACAAAAGCAAGTGGGAAGCGCTCGACGGCACCAAGTTTACCGACAAAATCCTGGAAGGGATCGAGTCAGACTCCGTGCACACGCCGGCATACTCGGACCTGAACTTTGTACAGGCGCTGTTGACACTCAGCGTCGACCAGTTCGTTTCCGCTGCGCAAAACAACAAAATTGTCACGGATATCATCATCCACCAAGGCATCAACTTGAAAATTCTGCGCGGCTACACACTGGGGAAGAACGGCACGCGCAAAGACAGCGAGAAGACGCTCGAAGACCAGCCCGCGCCGTCCGCCGCCGCGGGGGACGCTGTGGAGCAGAAGCCGCCGCTTTTGCGGTCGAGATCCGAAAGCGAACACGCGCTGCTGCAGCCGGAGGCTGCGCAAGGCGCCACAGCCGCGAGCCCTGACGACGCCGCGCTGCAAAACGCGGGCGAGTCGGAAGTGCCGGAAGAGGCGCAAGCGAAGAGCGCAAGCGCCGAACTGCGTGCGGATCTGCCGGCGGCAGACGCGCTGCCCACCAAGCAGTTGGTGCGCAGGACAATGTCCGTTAAGACGGAAACACAGAGCGACTCTCAGCCAGTCTTCCAGTACATGTACTACTACGTGTACTACGACGCGAACAACAACATCGTTGACATCGACTACGGAGACTTTGACTCCGATGGCGATTTCGTCATTGCAGACAACGACGAAGAAAACACGAAATTGCTGCGCGAGCGCTTCAACTCCAAGTTCAAAGAGTGAGCGACTCAGTCGCTCGTCTTGCTCGGCTGCGCTGAGAAGACGAGCTGAATCGGCTCGAACTTGCACCCGAGCTGCGCGAAGCATCGCTTCACGTCGTCCTGTTCGTCGTATGAAGAAAGAATTTTGTATCCGTTGTCCGTAATCGCCAAGGTGCGCTCAAAGGCGGCAGAAACCTTGCCGTCCTTAGTGACCACCGTCCATTGGTCGGGCCACCGAGCAACCTTCGCAGTCCCTGCGTTGACCATAGGCTCGATCGTGAAAACCTGGCCTTTCTCCATGACGGACTTGTCCGACTCTACGCAGTAGTGGCGCACGTACGGTTTGCTGTGAAACAGCTCTCCGCAGCCGTGTCCGGTGTATTCGCGAACAATCGAGCAGCCGAACTCGCGACACGTGCTCTCGATCGTGCGGCCGATCTCCTTAAAAGGCGTGCCGGGCCGGCAAACTTCGAGCGCGCGCTTCAGCGCGGCGTAGGCACAGCATAAAGTCTTCGCGGCCGCGATCGAAACGTCGCCAACCACGAACGTCTGGTTGAAGTCGCCGTGCATGCCGCAAAAGTAAACCGTAACGTCGACGTTCACCACGTCCCCGTCGCACAGAACCAGCCCGTCCGGAATGCCGTGACACACGACCTCGTTCACGCTGATGCAAGAAGCTTTCGGAAACCCGTAGTAGTTGATCGGGCTCGGAAACGCGTTTTGCTCGATGATGAAGTTGTAAATCGCGAGGTCGATGTCCTCGGTACGGACGCCTGGCTGCATCATGCGCTTCGCAATGTCGAGCGCCTGGCCCGCGAGACAGCCCGCTGCGTAAATGCGTTCGAGTTCCTGCGCGTCGTACAAGCGAAACGGCTTCGAAAACGACTGCTTCTCGCGCGCGCTCGCGCCGGTCTTGAAGTACTCGGGGACGCGAATGTGTTCGGGAATCACGTACGGCGGAATGTTGCAGGGATACGCGCGCAACGCGCCGGTGAACTTGTATCGCGTGAGCGCGAACGGTTTGGTGCGCGGGAAGAAGACCCACGTGTCTCGGTTTGCAAGAGAAAACTGCGACGCCTGCGACGCAGGCGCAGCGCTATCGCCGTGCGTCAACTTGTGGGTCTCCCAGGCCGCGTTGAAGCAATCCTGCGAGCAAAAGACGGCGGCGGCAACGCCCGTCTTGCAGCAGCGCGGGCAGCGCAGCGAACTGTCCGTCTGCTTCAAACACCCGGCGCATTTATTCATTAACTTTTAATTTCTGCGCTCGAGCTTCGCGAGTTACTCCAAGTCGCAAGAGCATGGCTGAAGTAAGTAGCTGCCTAGAGTCTCTAGGCTGTACCGGACACGGTTTGTCCGTTGCCGTTCATTTCGTCGTTGGTCGACAAGAAAGTAGTCGTTCGCCTCAAGTGGAACATCGTTTACGCAGGTAAGTTGCGCGCGACGGCATGAAGGCACGCTGAAGTCCACAGACTCCTATTTCAATTTCGAACTCGCTGACGCGTGCGAGATTCAGCCGAACAAATCCAAGGTGCCGCTTGGCGACTTGCTGATCCGGTCCAACACGGTTTTGTGGATTCAAGAAGACGCTTCAGACCAGTAACGCGTTGCACGCGCGTTGCTCGCGCGTTGCTCGCGCGTTGCTCGCACGCAACTTCGGCGCTGCCGCGAGCGCGATTGCGGCGACGAGACGCGAAGCTCAGTGCAACGGCAGTTCTTGTTGCGTGACGTCAAACACAGTAGACGCCAGCACGCACGGCGACTGTCGAAAGCCCCGATCGGACAGAAACTGCGTGCAGTACGCCAGCACTTTGCCCACCGTGATGTTGTGCGGGTGCTGTTTCAGGTAGGTGCTCAGCGCCAAGCTCACGGCTCCGCCGGCGCCCCACGTAGACACGAGCAAGTCTGCCGCGTTTTCGTCAGAAGCGCCGCTGGCTAAGTGTATCACCAAAGCTTGCACGCGCGGGTTTACCTTTCCTGTCTGTTGCCACTTTCCGTTTCTGTATGCGTACGGCAACGCAAACATCCCTTCGCTGTAGCAGCAGTCCGTGACGACCAGCGCTTCGCACTCTGCAGGCAGTTTTTCCAGGAATTGCGCGGTTAGCTCCTCGCTGCTGATGTAGCCCGCGGTCTCGTAGTCTGCAGGCACCACCACTCTTTGGAAATCGTGCCAGCTGTTGCGGCTCGTCTGCACGCGCTCTCCGTGTCCGCTGAAGTGCACCACCAGCTTGTCGCCGCTTCGCGCCGACTCCGCCAGTTCACTCAGCGCTGACAAAATGCCTTGCTTCGTCGGCGGCTTTCGGGACGGCGTTGCGAGCGTGTCGCTGAGGATTTGCATGTTCGGCGGGGAAGCGTCGAATTCGTAAGCGCTCGTCAGAATGTCGCGGAAGCGCTCGATGTCGCTGGCACAGCCCAACAACTGTTTCGGCGAGTCCGGGTAGGAGATGCCGATGAGCAGCGCCTTGCGACGGTCATTCGCGTAGCAGACTTCCGTAGTGCTCCGAATTGTGTATGAGCTCGTCAGCAGACTGCGCACGGTGTCGGTGCTCCGCAACATGAATTCAGCGACCGCGCAGTGCTTAACCGCGGACGGCAGATCGAAGTGGCTCGCTTCCAGTGCTTCATGCGCTTGTTCATGCGAAATGTGCTTGAAGATGCGCTTGAGCACGTTTATTTGCGACACACGCTGCTTGTCCTCTACAAGACGCGCTGCGCTCTCGTCTCTGGCTTCGAGTGTCGAAGTAGTCAGTCGCATTAGCTTCTTCTGCAGTCGTAGCATACGCCCGGTGCAGCGCAAATGAATTTATATTTCGCAGGAAAACCGCGAACACTGTAGCAATCGCGGCCAATTGGGCCTGCGAAAAATAGATAATTTCTGCTCTATGCATTTGGCATGTGGCGCTGACAAGATTGACGCGTTCGAGAGCTTCTGTCTGTTGGTCAACCTTAACCCCGTTTACTACAGTGATTTGGTGCAGCTCGACGCGGCCGCCGCAACGCAGTCCGGCGCCGAGACAGATCTGACACAGGAAATCTTCAGCACATACATAAATCTGATTTGCATGTTTGCCGAGCTGTACAAGTATCTTTACCCACAGAACGTGTTGCTGCTGCTGGCGTACGATTCCGATGCTGTAACAACGCTCTACACCGGGCTCGCGGCGCACTGCAACACACAGGAATTGTTGCAAAAGTGCTACGCCGACGTTCTGCCGCGTAACGAACGCGTAAAGTATTCGCAGCTCGCAATCGGGCTGCACAAAGCCATCGCGCTGCTGCTCAAAACTTCGAGCGCGGCCTGTCGCATCCTGCATCTCACGCCGGACCTTGCGGCCAACGAAAATGTGCAGAACAGCGAGGTGCTCAACCTTTCGCTGCTTGCGCGCCGCAAGCACATCGCAATCAGCTGCTTCTGCACCGCCAAGCGACCCTCCTGGCTGGTCTGCCGCCCCTCCGAAATTACGGACGGGCTTGTGCTCACGTTCGAAAAAGACATTTTGAACCTCGATTGGCAAGAATTCGCTCAGGAGATTTTGGACGACGCGATGCGACAGTGGGAGCTCAAGCTTCACGTTCTCAGGATGTTCTTTCTGCATCCGA